TGTGAACTGGCACTTCATCAAGACAGCCCATTGAACATTCTACCGGCACGTGGTGGGCACGGCAACAGGCTAGGCGGGAGAAAAAACGGCCCTTACAGAGCATGGCTAAATCGAGGTCGAGATCGGTACAGTGCCTCAGACTGCCGGGCTTCAGGTTGCTCACGTCGGACTGACAAAGTGCTAGGCAGTCGCCGTCGAGACCAATCTTCTGGCAACAGCCTGGATCGAGATGAACGATGCGGAAGGAAAAAATATTTTAACATTGTTTTGACGAGCAAAAGCTAAAAACACATTCTGAAAGTAGATTTAATTTATGCAGAAAAAAGATAAAAATGACAAGATCAATGGGAAAAAGGTAAGTGAGGGCAAGAAGATGGGGTGCAAAATAATGTAAAATGTGAACAAAATTGTCGTTGAGCTAACGCATAGCTTGACGCGAAAGACTAGGCAACAAAATCTTACGACATTTTCAGATTTCTTGGTATTAACACTGACTGCGACTGCTCGGACGTTAACGTAACATCGACCAAAAGCAGACCAAAGTACATCTACCATTGTCTGCTGGTGAGACTGACCCAACATTTTCTGATAAGATATCTTGACATGCAAACAAGGTCAAACAATCACTCTTTAGGGGTGCACAACTTTCAACTAAGATTTGCGATCCTATCTTCCCTTACGCCTGCAAAACTTATAGCAACACCCTCTTCTGAGGATATATTTTTTTAAGATATGTCAACATTTTTCTCCATAGTCTGTAGTCGAGTCGACTCTATCCCACGATTTGGCCACTTGAATAGCATGAAATCCTAAATGCTTCAGGATTCACGTCTTTGCGGAAAGCTTTCTACGTTTGGGCTGGTTGACTGACTTCAATTACTGACGGTCCTTCGTGGAATCATGACCATTCCTGAAAGCTCTCAGACAGACTTTTAAAACTATGCAAAAGTTCTCCGCAAACTTTCACGTTTCAAGCTTCCAGCTATGCCTACGCGTGCTTGTCATTAGCATCAATTTGTTAGGGCCCATTTTGTCCATATTCGGCGTGAGTAAACTCGAATAAGGATCTTGCTCACCCACGGTCCATTGCGGTGATTCAATTACCGTTAGTTCAATTTGCTCACATTAAAGTGAACCATTTCACTACATGAAGCCTTGCATTCGAAAATCTTATGGTCT